GGCGGTCTTATATTCCTTTTCGAAAATGACTAACAGCACGGTGACCAGGCACATCAGTAGAAGGATGCACCAAGGCGCTGCTGTAACTTCGTAATCATAAATGAAATCTGGGTGAGTTTTTATGTGAGGCGCGTTAAGGCGATTTCATATGCACACAGCCTTGCTATCTTGGTTTTATTATTCAACCTTCCAACGGTTAACAGTGTCTTAAAGAAATATCATTAATCACTGATCGAGATGGAATGAATAATGTAGACTAGTAGTAGAATTAAAGTAGTACTAATGACGATAAAAACTAAAATTCCGAACTACTTGCTGCTTAGACTGGGTGCTACTTCCCTCGTTGTTAGTTTGGTATTGTATTGGACTCAAAGCTTAATTACCTATTAAGGAACGCTGCGTGTTGGAACTCCAAGGCCCTACGATTACGGTTGTATTCTTGGGCCGCTTATTACGGGAAAAGCCAATGTGATTACTGACTGTTACAACCCTAGATTGAACTTCGACAAGAACTTTTGTGTTGAGTGTTCAGCTAGGCTTCTTAATTGCCGGCCTGGTGGTTATAGGGCGCCGTATTCATTTTTCTAATTTATAAATTGTAAAAGATCAATAATTATCAATTCATAAAAAAATTTTATAGGATGCTTGTCACTATTTTTTGTTGGATTTGAAGCAATCATATGAGACACAATATAAATTAATATTTATTATAAGAAAATCTACTTATGTACATAAAATATAAAATATTTACTCTAATAAGAAATAGATGTAAGGACACTTTGTTATTGTTGTCTTCTATGATATTGAAAATACAATTAAGATATATGGAGCCAAAACATTTTAATATTCTTTATATTATAAGAAAATTTCATTTAAAATAAAAAAGATAATAATGATTGAAATGTTATTAAAAAATTTAATTTACAATATTTTATACATTTTGCTTTTATGGAAATTTATGAGAAAATTAAATGCAAGTATAATAATCTTATAACTTGTATGAACCGATAACATTTTCATTATTTTTATTAGAAGAAAATTATAACAACTCCAACCTTATTATATTGTTAAAAATATAACATTGTTGTTATTATTTAATTAAAATTTTTATAACATAATATTCTTTAATGTATAAAATTATTCAAATAATTTTCGATATCAAATAAATCATTAAAATATCCAAACATACAATATGTTGTACGTCATACATCATTCAATATTAATTGATTCAGAATATTTTGTTACAAAAATGACAAAGAGCTGATGACAAATTCAATAAGTCAAGCGACAACATTAAACCTACACAATGCTATGGTATAATATACTTGTACAATATAAAATTACTAAAAGCATTTTTCATAAAAATTTTTAATTTAATAATTTTCAATTAATTTTTAAAATTGGCTATAAATTATTATTACTAAATTTTATAATTTTTATTAAGAGTTTTTTTTTTTTTTTGAAAATTATGAGTGCATTCATCATATTAAAACTTTTAAGACACCATAGTGATTAAAAATAACAAATCACATTTTGATTTTAAGTGATAAATTTTTTAAAATTAAAATGTCTCATATTCAATCAAAGGATATTAAGAATTTATTTTATAGTCATCCACTTATTTAATAAACAATTCAGATTTTATTGACAAATTTTATAAATTATTCACTTAATAATATTAATAATTAATTATTGTCACTTAAATATTAGTTTAAATTCACTTTTTAATATTATGAGAGTTCATCTTTGGCTTATAAAATGTAAAGGCTATTAACTTTAAATGTACTTAAGTAAAAAAGAAGAGACAAAAACCTGTAGTTGTTAACTGAAAGCTTTTACCATTTTTGATTATAGTTCTTCTAAATTTTGAAAACCTTAGTTAATATTTTGTTCTATATTCGGGCATTCCACCTGCAAGATATTTAAACAAACAATATAAATACATAATTTTTATTTTAAAGCTATGGTATTGAAATTTCACACAAACGAATATACTAGTAGGGCTGATGTATTTTATAAAATTCGTTAAAATTTCTTGGCTCTTTCTGGTAGCTGCCATACAACTTCAATAGTAGTTTGACACACACAGTTTTTTGAAAAACACTGTACTGAAATATGGTAATACGACAATTTAAAGGCATAGTCTGTCCCATAATCAATTATGGCATATTTATTCGCATATAGGACAATTCGTACGGATATCACAGAGTTGACAATAATAAACTTCGCTTCATTTTCGTTCATAGTTTTCTGTGCTTGAGTATAATAGTTAATTTAAAAATGGAATAACTTTAAACAATTTATAAGCATAATAATATAATAAATTAACAATTGTCTACATTCAAATTTTTTTTGGAAAGCTTTTAAAATTTTTGATTTGTGCTGTCATATTTATTTAGTTTTTTTTTTTTGTTTTTTTTTTAATATAACCTTCATAAGAATGTCTTAAAGCAATAAAATGACTTGAAAATAATTTAAATTAAATATTTGTTTTATTTTTTTTTTTTTTTTATAATATGAGGCCAACTAAAATATTTACTCTTATTTTAATAATTTTAATATTTTGGTTTTTTTAAATCATAATATAAATTTGATATGTAACACGTGCCATAGTTATAATTTTACAATATATTTGAAATGTTACAGTGTATTTCCGAATATATTCCAAAATTTTTCGAAAATATACTTGTTTGGAACGTGCAGTGACAGGGGCACTTAGGACAGTGCCAACCCAAAGTTTGGAGATCTTACTTGACTTGGAAATGGTATTGAATTGGTGAAAAATTTTACTGCAAAGAGTGCATACGGCGAAACTTGTGTAGCAACCAAGGCTCTGCGGTCGAAAAGTAACGGGACGAGAATGTGAGTTCTGCTCCACTCTTATGCGAAATGATGACAACTTACAGGAGGATATAGTTTTAATTAATTGCAAGAACTCCCGGGAGTAGATGAAAATGAGCCTTCTATTCGCCTAATTTTGAGAGCAGCGATAAGGTTGCCATCTCCTCTCTTCAACCAAACTTCTTTATTTGCATTTATATTAGAAATTTGTAACATAAAATTTGAATAATTTCAAGTAATAATATTTCGAAATTAATTTTATTCGAATTTCTCTTACAAAACATTATTCACTCTCTTAAACACACAATTCTCTTTAAAATTTCTCAACTTATATAAAACAAATTTAGATATTTTACAGTAACATGCGCCATTATCATAATATACGTCACTTAATACAATAACAATAAATATATACTAAAATACTTAATATATAACATCATGAATATACAAATACAACATACGTACAGGTACATACACACATGCAGTAGGAAATTTAATTTTTGATATTTGCATATATGAAAAGATTAAAAATTTCCTGTTATTTTATCCTTGAAAAATATTCACCTGTGCAACTGAGATTTTAGTTTTTCTTTTTTTTTTTCTACGTAAAATTAAATGACCATTTAAAAATTTAATTTTCTATTAAAAATCCTATATACTAAATTTAGTCATATAGATTTTTTTCTCATAATTTTTTATTATTGTTATTATTGTTATTTACACAGAAAAAAAATATTATATTTTTTTCAAAAGAAACTACAATACTTCTAGAAAATATTTAATGCAGAATATTATTTGAATAGACGTATAGAAAAAAAAATAGAATTTTCAGAAGAAAAACAAAAAAGAAAAATAGAAAACACATTTTTTGTTTTTCAAGCACAGGAAGGATAATATTATAAGAAATTGTAATTAAAGAAAAAAAAAAAATAAAAATTAAATAAAAAATTTTTTCATCCCCTTGTTATAGTTAGTTAGTTAGCCATAGTCATGAATGCATTCCAACTAGAAAAAAAAAGGATTTTTTTTTTTAATTAAAAAAATGTTATGAAGCAAAAATATATCATTAGCAATTACATAAAAGAAAAGAAAAGAGAAGGACTTGAATTATTCTTTTTTGTTTTTTTGAAGAGAGCGAATAAAAACCACTTCGTTGATGCTAGGAAATTATAAAAATAATACAAGTTTTTAAAAATGTATGTATATGTGTAATAACGTAGTAAAATTACATTGTAATTTAAAAAAAAAAAAACAGAATGTCTTGTTGTTGATAAAACAGTAGAGTAAAATCGTAATCAATGTTTTAATTTATAATAGGTTTAAGTTAGGTTTAGATTAACACGGCTACCGTCGGATCCAAAAAATTCCACGCCCTCACGAGAACCACCCCGAGCTTTTCAAAAACCTGCTAAAGCCCCCTAGTATTTAAATTTCCCAGATCCGTAGTACGCGAAAAGTAAAATGACTCAAGGAATTTGTGCTTTTTTCCTGCTAAAGCCGGACACGAGCAAAGGTGATATGACTGCGTTTCTTTTTCTCCTCGTTACAGCAGCTCTTGCAGAGCACGTTCGCAGGATGGTCCATCTTTCTGGTATGTTCACCATTAAGACAATTACCCGTTATGATCCTTATCACAGCTCCAATGTCTCTCCGGCAAAGAAACATCAGATCCCTGGTGTGACGCAAATCCAGCTTTACGGAAACAACAAACTTTTTGCTTTAAAAATTATTTCGAAATTGTAAACTTTTCCGAATTCCTATTAAAAAAAAAATAAAAACCCAAAATCGAAAAAATAAGTATTTATTTTAACTCAACTGATTAATCTAATACCGACATTATAATATATAGATTCCAGCTGAATCCCTTTGAAATAAATTTCTTTAAAAACAAAAAAAATAACTTAATTTTCTGTTATATTTCTTTTACCCCCATTCGTAATTTAAAATTTAAATCTTAATTTTGAATTATTGGCAAAACAATAAAATTAATTACATAAAAGTGTTACCAGAAAAATTTTTTGGAAATATTTGTTTATTTATGCCGTATAACACGTGTATAACATTAAAATTACTTCTATATAGCCTATATAAAAGTTTTATTTAAATTTTACTTTTATTTTTTAATAATAACCGTAATAATTTTTTTTTTTTATTTTCAGGTATGTTTTTCGAAAATACTTCTTTATTACTTGTTACTTCTAGCTACTTTAAATGTAAGTAAACAAACTTACGCACACATATATTGTATACAAAATCTTATACATTTTATGTATAACAGCTTATTTATCAAATATAATATAACAGTTTGTATAATAATTTGTACATATAAGGTATATGAAATCATTTTTTGACATTTTAAATAATTCTTTGTCTTGTTCGTTTCTGATCCACAAATTATAAATGACATTGTTATATAGACAGAAAATTAAGCCTATAGGTATGCAATTATATAAAAAATTATTATAGGGTTTTCCCTTTCTATATTTTTTTCAAATATTTGTTATACATACAAAAATTATCATTCGATTTTATATAAAGAAAAATCCAGAATTTTTTTTTGTCTCTACAGCCCAATTAGAAAATTTTCTAATTAAAACCCTTTTTTTTTTTTTTTGAATTATTTTGAAGTTAGGTAGAAAATTTTTAATATAAAAAATTACAAAATTCATTTTTTTTTTTTTTTTTTTTGTTTTAATAATTTAACGGTTTGTTAAGTATAATAAAAAGTTGTAAAGTTTTTATCCAGAAAATTCTTTTTATAAAAAAAAAATCACAAACAAAAAAAAATATTTAAAATAAACAAAAGAAAAGACTTGAAACAGCTTTTCGGCATAAAGCCGAAAAGGAAACGAAAAAATTTTTTTCTGCTTGTAGGAAAAATTATGATCCTTTTTTTCTTTCCTTTCCACTTATTAAAAACTTTTCAAAAGAAGTTTGTTTTTTTTTTTGCTCAATTCCACCTGGAAATAAAAAAAAAAGAGAAAAAAAAATAAGAGAAAAAATTAAAGAAAAATTGCGATAATTTTTCATTTTGTAAGAAATTTATTTTATTTGATGGTTTTGTTATACGCGACGCATATTTTTTTTTTTTTGCGTACACATCCACCTTATATCTGTACACCAACAATTATATTCAAGGAGTTTTTACCTTTAAATGGTAAAAAATATTGTGTTTTTCAAAGATTTTTTCGGTTTAGAGAGTTCCTTTTTTTTTATCCGTACGAACGTATGTTCGAATGGTATTATAAATTTGCCTTATCGTTTGTAATGCTAAAAAAAATGGTTTGAGATATAGACATAAGGGTAAGTCTTTGATCAGTGTCGAATTCTGAGCCAATGTAAAAATGTTTCTCCGTTTTCCGTTCTGCCCATCTATCCGTCCGTCTTTATAATCAAAAAATCTTCGTAAATGATTTATAGTAGTAAATGGCGGAACTCTATTTAAATCGGATGCGATCGAGGAAGTGCTGCCCTATAACTTCAAAAGTTATTTGGCTTAAAAAACTGAAGTTATAACATCGAAATTTTAAACAAATGATTATGTTATTGGAGCTGATATGTGTGATAAAAGTCGTCGAAATTTCTTGATTTCTTGTAGTAATTGCCATATAACTTCAATATTTGTTTGATCATATCTTTGAAACTATTGAAATTGCAGAACTAAAATTCTCCATAAATTAATATGGTAATACAGGAACTATTATTGCCGCGCGCAGGTATATTAGAAGAGCATTACAAATTCGTGCTACTTCGTGGTTTTTCTTCCATGCATCTCGAGTAAATAGTCTAATGCAGTTGGATACAAAAGATACATAGATAATTTATTCCATTACTTGTACAACCGCACTAGCTTTATTAAAATCATAGTCTGTCGCATAGTCACAGCTAATGTCATATTTTTTTGCCCATAGGGTAATAAGTTCGTACGGGTACCACAGAGTCAACTTGATCAACTCTATTTTTTTCGTTTTATTTTTTTGTTCTCTTTTAATTTTTTTTTTTTTTTTTTTTTTTTTTTTATAAACAAAGAAGACATTGATTTTCTTGAGTGCGATTCTCTTGATTATTCAAAATGTTTTTAAATTTGTTCAGTACGTTAAAAGTATATTAAGGTGAGGTGATGTATATTTTTGCGCCTACATATGTCCCATGCGTATACATTGTATTTATAATAAAATGAAGCAATGTATATAAAAGAATAAAAGTAAAAGTCAAAAATTTAATATTTACACTTGTTATTTAAACTTTGCTTTGTGATAATTTTTTGTGATTGTATTAAGCACAAATAAGAATTATAAAGGATATGAGGAGTTCTATAAAGCACCTACACGTTAAATAGATAAATTATGTTTTGAAAAATGGTCTTTTTTTTTTGTTTATATTCTTATGGAACACTAATCAAAGACTTTATACTTTGTTTTCAGAAAAAGAGGGCGCTGTTACATTTAAAATTTCATTATGCCATAGACTGATGGGTGGATTTCTTTTAAAGATTGAGGTGGAATCGTTGCTACTTATTGCAAAACTCCCTATAATATCTTGATCACACGATGAGTTCAACACAGAAACTTTATTTGTCTTTTAATCCGTGACAGTTCTTACATTAAAAACTCTTCACTTATAAAGAAATTTATAAAATAATTTAAGTTCAAGACACTTTACTCTTTAAGTATGATAAAGAGCATTATACAGATATATATTCAATGGAATTGGCTTTACTAACCTAAGAATTGAAAAGGAACCGAAAAAAGAAATTTCGGATTCAGAAGCGACACAAAAGAAAACTTTTTTTTTTTTAATATTTTTTTTTTTAATCTGACCTTTTTCTTCTTCTTTCAGGTGAAATTCTAACTATCATTTAAAATTTTAAAATTTTCTCAACTAGACCCATAGAATAGCATTTTTTCAATGTAGAAAATAAAAAGTTGTAGGAGTTTTAATAAGCAGATTATAAAATACCCTATATACTAACTTACATAAAATTAACTGACACCGGTTACCTTGATTACGGGTAAATCTTCTTAAAAAAATTAATAAAAACAAAAGTGATATTTTCATCACCTACGTTGTGTACTTAAATATTTTGAAAAGTTAAAATAATTCCAAAATTTTATTAAACATTCTGACTTAAATTAAACTATAAAATTTAAATATTTATTAAGTTTACTGCATTATTTTTGCAGAAAATTGAACCAAGAATATGCACAAAGGGCAATTTTTATAACAAATAATGACAAAATGGTTCAAACACACTTTTTTCGATATATAATCAAGCCCTAATAATCAATAGAAAATATAACCTGAAAATTTTGTAGCAAATTAATCTTAGAATTCCCGAACACCAATTCATAATTAACGATAAACCCTACATGTTGTATAGTGTTATTATCATTGCTATTCATTCATTCTTGCAATGCATTATCCTCCAAGATTATCTTAAAATTTTAGACCACCGTATGAGGGGCGATCCATTTTCCGGATAATCATTTTGTTTAAGGTACAACAACAAGATTAAAAATTGTTGTACGATTAACTTGTTATACGTAATTACGCAAGTACCCACTCATAGGTGCAAAAAGATAATAAATTTATTCAAATTACGAAGTTTTTTTCTGACCAGAGCCGGTTATTTGAAAATGAAAATTTGATTTTCTGGTCAGAACCAAGAATTTTATATGTATGTCGTTTGTATTATACAATATTTTTTTCTTTTGCTTATATAGACAAAACGTTGCATATATTTGGTTATGGTGCACAAAATTTTGAGCTTCTATATTAGTCTATATTAATTAAAATTTGGACTCGTCTTTTCAGAAATTTTAAAAAATTAAAAATTTCCCGAAATGCTCCAAAATTCACATATAATTTTAATTTTGAAAATTTTTAGAAAAATACTGTTTGAATCATCACGTATGCCATGTCTGTGTACTAACAAGTGAAAGAATTCCTATTCAATATTCTAAAAATAAAATCAATATTAAAAATTTCAATATTTTCTAACCCTTAATAATATTCAATTAAAAATAATAACTATTTCAAGGTTATATTTATTCTATTACTATATTTAAATTAAAAAAAAAGTAACAAAAAATTTATTTTTAGTCTAAGGGTAAAACATAAAAGTTATTTTTAGCACAATAAATTTTATTGTATAGGGAAAAAATTAAAATAGAAAATTATTTCACATACAATTTATATATTTATTTTTAAACCTTTTATTAAAATACCAATTTCCCTTCCATATTTATTTTTGTATACATACACATACATGCATTGTTTGTAATTAAATAAAAGAAATCATAAATTTTCAAATTTACATAATTTTCTTTTTATAAAAAAAACAAAAATAGAGCACATATGTTCATTAAAAGTTAAGAAAATAAAATTTCTTATGGCATTAAAATATTTAAAAAAATTAAAAAAATAAACACAAATATCAATTAACCCTTGAATAACACACTTTATACTTGTTTTATTCCGCACACACATTCAATTATCGTAAGTATGCCTGTATAAATGCAAATTTTTATTATTTTGCAAAAAATTAAAGCAAACATAAAGCATACAAATTTATAAACAGTAATAATAATTTTAAAAAAATATTACACGCATACAAACAACTCATGCAATTCTCTCATAATTTTATGAAAATATTTATAGAAAACAATGATAATATAGAGAGAAAAAAAGAGAAAATCATTAAAAAATTATTTGAATTAATGAAATAAAAAAATCGGATTTGATCAGCACATAACCGACTCTTGCGGTCATAAATTGTTTAAATGAAAATGTTACAGAAGGTTATGAAAATGTCTTTTAAATACTACTGCCAAATATTAAGGACAATAGTAAACTTTTAGTTGACATACCTAGAGAAATTTAAATTTGGCTCTTAGTAGAGTTTCATTTTGTGTCATCCGAATTCCATGAAAAGTTTACCTGTAGTTTCGGTAATAACCAGAACTCATATATTAAATTTCAAGAAATTTCATCAATTAGTTCCTTAGATTTGATAAAAAATTTAAAATCAGGCCCTAATTCGGTTCACGAGTCGTGATCTTTCCAAAAAAGAATAACTTCATAGCTTTAACACCCTGACAAATTATTTCTTTTTATATATGCCTAAAAATGTAAATTTTTCTTTGAAGTAAAACTTCGGTTCCTGATATCTTTTGAATTCTTATAATATTTAAATTTTAATCAAAAACCGTTCAGCCGAATTTGAAATACTTGGTTACACACACACACAGATCGAAAAACCGACATCTAGCTAAAAGTTGTTTATTTACGC